TACACTTGAAAAATTAAGAAAAAAAATTCTCATTGTCATTCAACAATCAACCCTCTAACATTCCAACTAAGAATTTTAATTTTCATCCGGAAAAGGATTGGTATTCCTCCCCTTGTTCTTCTTCTCCCCCGTCACAATTCACCAAGCATATCAACCTTCATTAGTTTCCCCTTTCTTTTTAGACTTCCTTTCCCCTCCTTTAGGCTTCATAGATTTTTAATTGAAGTTGTTTCTTTCCACTATTCTTAGAATCATATCTAGGATTTATGCTCAAACCCATTATAGCATTTACTCTAAATGTCTTGCATGCTTTCCCCATGACTAGTTGCTCCATTTTGATGTCTCAATTACTGTAGGACTTTGAATTTGATCGTCGGAATCACATAAGGGAAGAAAGAGACAATCACTTTAATTGTAACGAGAATTCAGAATCTGAGTCAACAACTGAAGGAGCGGTGCTAGAGACTGACCTTGGCACACAAAAAGAATAATTCATTCACTCAACTTCATCATCAACTACTAGATCAACTACTAGATCATGGATCGAGTGTAGTATCTCTACAGGCTTCAACTAAATGTTCTATGGAGGCTGAGGAGGGATGGATGAATTAGAAATAGGACCTTTTTGCCTTAAAAACTTGCTAGCCTTGCTTGGTTTGGCCAATTTTTTACTCCCGCTTTCCCACTTATAACATTGAACTCTTTAAAATAATAGGCCCGATCTATGTTTTTTGTTCCAAAAGGTCCATTAGCATCATTTTAATCTGTAACTAAGATGGAGTTTGTTCAACTAAAGGACCAATTCCATGGTTTAGTTCAAATATCTGGCCTTGTTTGTCACTCATGTGGTCCACCACTACATCCACCATGTCTATTACTGACTGCAACTAGCATTTTGGGACTCGAGGTAGCCACTCCTATAACCATCGACTTTGCTACGTCAGCAACCCCATTATGATAAAGGAATAGTCATCCGCGATCAAGACACAATATTTTCAATCTCCTATTTTCGCCTCCACCCTAAAGGAGGATCTAAGAGAGAAACTTTGACGCATAATCAAGCCCAAACTAGATCCGATTGTTCTTTTGCTTCAACATCCATTGCAACAAAACCACCAAAAATATCTTCAATGGATTTGCAATTACCTTCTGACCAAGTATGAAGAAGAAGACCTAGGCTTTAATCCATACATGTTCTGAGTTCACCTTGTTCATTTGTGTGATGGACACCGGCAACCACCAATCCAATGAAAGTCTTCTCCTATTTCAAAACCATTTGTTTTCTTCAACCCTCGTAGATTCTTGTTTTGGCGGAAGATAGAGGAGGAATTGGTTATGGGAAAGATGTGTTACTCTAATGCTGGATGTAATTTGCCATCTTTCAATTAAGCCAGCTTTGAATCACTTTCGATTTAGGAAATGTTACCAGTTCCAAAAAAAATCACTTCCGATTTAGGGGATACATGGAATGGATCGTTGAAGGTGTCACTCAAGCAGTTTGAGATTTCAGGAAATATGAAATGTTTTTGCAGTTGGGTTAATTTTGACCATATTTTTTTTAGGGAAAAGGGTCAAAAATACCCCTCAACTTTATTTTATTGGTTGACTAAACCCTTACCGTTAAAACGAGGTTAGTTTTACCCCTGCCGTCTACAAAGTCATCATATGTACCCTCCAAATTAACGATTTCCCCAAATCAATTCCAAATTCTCAACTTCGACCCGAATTATCCCTTTAAAAAACAAATTATCAATTAAATCCGACCCATAACCCATTTAATCTTATCTTACATACCAAATGTATAAAAAAAAAAGTAATGAATTCACCAAAACCCATTTCAATTCCTAATGAACAAATAAATTTCCAGCCATTAATGAGCTTTTAAGAAGCAATGTTAGGAGCAAAAGCAGAGGAAGAAGACATGCCAGCCTTATGTTCATACACAAAAATAAGAACAATATTGCTATTGAAATAATCCAATAACCTTCTTCCCCAAAAGTCACTTGTATAGATATATTCACTAGTTCTTCAAATCCGCCGCACACGACGGCGAAAAGGCAGTACTA